CAACAATATACATGTATCCATTACCATCAAAAAAAACATCTGTTGGTGTATTTAAACGATTCAACGCAGTGCTGGCAGTACCAGTACTTCCGGCCACTAACTTAATTGTAGAATTCCAAAGAGCTGCATCACAAATTTGATTCGGAGGATCAGCTAAAAAATTATGTACAAGACAGTTGCAGAAAATCAAGAATCATTTTGGAAATGATCTTTTTATAAGTTTGATATTAACAAAAATAAAGGACTTTTATATGAAGCTTCAAATACAGTACGAAGAAAACCAGCATAAATATTCAATACTGATGATATAAATGCATACTCTGAACTTTTTCATTGTGAAAAAACTAGAGGTTTCTCGATGTTTTGAAGAAAGTGCTCTAAAATGGACTTAGTTCAAAACTGAAGAACACTGTACAAGAATCTTTGTATTATTATGAAGGTATTTATTATTCATCCACACCCACGTCGACACCCTAGTTTTGGAACGTTAAGCCTTCTTTACTAATAACTTACTGAGTGGTGCAATAGTTGAAGTTGTTGTAGGTCCTAGAAAAGAAAGTGTTCAATAAATAAATCATTGAAGTATTGTAATGAACGAAAATGAAAGAGAATTTGCTTTTACTCACCACAAGTACCAGCAAATAATACAACACGATGATTTGAATAATCTGCAGTTACCAAATTACCATAGTCATCGATGGCTAACCCTCTTGGGTTACTCAACGATGTGGAACTAACAACTGTTGTGCCATATGCTGATCCAGGCCACCACCGCTGAATTCTATTGTTACCAGAATCCATGATATACATGTAACCATATGGATCAAATGTTATGGATGTGGGTAAATTAAATTGATAAGACCATGCGCCAGCGACACCTGATTGCCCTGCCACAGTTATACCACCTGAAGCTCCTATAACATACCAAAAATGATGTCAGATGTTACATTTAAACAGTACTCTATTTACCTCTTTCCCACATTTGTACTCTATGATTTCCTTGGTCTACAACGAACACCGTATAATTATAGTTAACATAAATTCCCCATGGATTTCGAAGTTGATTCAAAGCACTTCCGGCAGTTCCATTACCAGCCACCTAAACAAAGAACAATTTGCATCAAACAATATATTTCTTTGACTAATATATACTATGACACCCATTGTTGTATTATCCCATCTCGTCACACGATCATTCCCAATTTCGGAAATATAAATACTTGACTGATCGTCAACATAAAGACTCTGACCAGTTGAAATCTTATCCAATGCTGTACCTGATCCACGACCGCCAGCAACTGTGAAACCTAACGGTTGACCATATATCCATTTCTGGATCCGATAATTTAAGTTATCATATATATACAATGTTCGATTCAAATCGAGATAAATTCCAGTTGGTCCATTCAATTGACTATATCCACTGCCTCCTCCAGTTGTGAAACCTGCGACTAGTTTACCGGTACTTGAAAGGCCGGATCCTAAATAAAGTACATACGTTTTTATAAGTTTTGTTATTGTAATCGAATACTTACCTGGATTAAATCTTAGAATTCTATTATTGGAATAATCAGCAACATACATATATAGATAATTATCGAAAATCACGTCTGTCGGGTAATACAAACGATTTAAAGCACTGCTTGCAGATGCTGTGTAGCCCGCTACTATTTTTAATGTTGAATTCCAGTAGCTTGTTGGACATAGTTGACTTTGTGGTGGTGCTATTAGTGATAAGTAAAACAAGATCAAAAGAGCTTTGAAGAAGGTATGATCGAAACTTACTGAATGCAGGAGTAGTTGAGGTTGTTGTAGGAGCTATAAAAAAGTTATAAGCCGGAAGATAAGCTTGTTGATAATACTAACGAGGGAACCACTCGACATGTTACGCTCCGTTTTAACTCATTCATATCTCGTTTGATAGAACATCTTTAGGTAGTAAAAATATAAAAAGGATTTCTGTCCATGTCTCTTCCTTCAAAAGTTCTGGGCGTTTTTCTATTTTTTTCGTTATGTCATCTAGAAAATTTCGAAATTCATAACTCAACTAAAATAAGTAGTACAGATCTGAAATTTTGATCACAGATGGAGATAGTATTTTTCTTTAGATACTGATGTAAAACTGCTTGCTTCATAGCACCATCTATCATACAGTTGTGTAGCCTTCAACAGAAAAGTAAAATTCTAGTGCACAGTTTTTTATATCACATTTATAGTCATGCTGATTAAGTTTTTCGTGGTGTCAACGTTGCTTGTGTATATTTATCAGTCTGAAAAGATTCTTTTTGTAAAAGACACTCGTTTACTGCAAATACAAGTGTTTCATATATTATGAAGAAGTGAGAAAAAATATATGCCACTACCATGTTTTTTTTCTTTTGTTCCAACGTTGACATATATTGAATAAACACAATAAATCCTCGTAACATTGGAAAACTCCTGACTGATTTAATATCTAAACAGTTATCTTCACATCCCTATAATGCTGCACACAGTGCACGTGATAAGAAACTTGCTAAAAATTTACATGAGTACATCGAATCCATTCTTCAGAGTACACAATACTCTTTTGGAATTGAAAATATTATTAATTTCAGCTACAATATTAACAATTAACAATCTGAAGAGGAAGAAGAACAAATTGATGCTGATGATAAACAACTGAACGAATCGATTATGGAAGTAGAAGATTATCATCAAAATAGTTTGCTCCACCAGTTCTCTATACATTTCATGAGAAAAGCTGTCGATTTCTTCGACGAAACAGACGATAAAGGTAAGAAAAAACTCTCAGAAATCCTTTCAACACCAATTCCAAAACATGAATGTGTTCTATGCATTTTCAAGGTTTCCGCCAATATTTGAGAAGTGCCGAAATGAAACAGCAAAAAATATAGAAAATTGATCAGTATACATGCGGAAAAGGTGAAAAAGCATGTTCAGACTTTCTTTTAATACGTGACATTCATTTAAAAAAATGGGTTTTACAAAAAGCTAGAGAGCTCAATGGCAATACTTTCAGTGCAAGTGATAATTGGATTCTTCATTTCAAACGCCGACATTCAGCATGCAGTGGAAAAGTAACATAACTTGTAACACAACGTGAAGTTATCGATTCAGATGCTATTCCAAAAACTGCAAGTAACTTCTTAAATAAAATTCAAAGACTTCTTTCTCACTATCAACAAGCTAATGTGATAAATACCGACCATAGTGGTCTTGAAATTGAAATAGTAGGCAATCGTCCTATATCGTTCAGGGACGAAAGAACTATTCTAGGGAAAGTTCGATCTGTACTTAATACATCACGCGGCTATACTACGCAATTCATGTTGTCATTATCTGACCAATCAACTGGTTCATGTATCTTATGTTTGAAACAATCAAGTGGTCATATACATAACCATATTAAGAAAAAATGAATCCAAGCATCAAATATTATCATATGATGTAGTAAATCTGGTAAGTTTTCAACAAACCGTGTTCCATAGTTGATTCAACAAGTGTTGAAACTAACAATCGGTAAAGAAAAAGTTCTATTATTGTCCGATAGCTGGAGTAGACAAACGAATACACAAATATATTCTAAAATGAAATATCTCCAAGTAGAAATTATACCAAAGAAAATCACTGCAATGACTCAACCATTGGACATTTCATTTAATCGACAATACAGACATATTGTTGCTATAATCTACGACCACGCTCGTCTTTATGATAGTGAATGTAATATCTTGCAGAGAAATAACATTACAAAATTGACCATTCCTTGCTACGATCAAATTTGTTCGAAAAACTATTTATCAATACTTCATTACAGTTAGTTTCAAGGTGGATATCTTACAAAATTCTGGATAATTTCAAAGCGTTGAAGAGATGTGCTTTCGATTCGAAGACAATTGTTGCAATCAAAATCGATGTAATAATATTCCTTTAATACAAAGAAGTTTCTGCTAGAAACCTTTATGCTTTCATCAATTTTTTCATTGTACCATGTCCGCTGAAAGTCATAAATTTTATTTCTTAAATTTCATTTTTATTGTAGTTTGTTTTTCAATTTTTTTGTTATGTAAATAGTACGATTGTGAAACTCATTTAAGTTTCGCTTTTTTTGAAACGTTTGTGTTGAACAGTCGTTTTTCCATGGAAAGATACTCGGGTAAAAGAATTTGCCTACTTAAGTGAAGGTCTTGATGTAATAAAACGTTTTACGTCCCTATTCAAAGTAAAATAGTACGTCTACCTGTGATCAAAATTCCAGATCTGTATTACTTATTTTAGTTCAGTTATGAATTTTTCAATTTTCCAGATGACATAAGAGAAAAATACAAAAAACGGCCATAATTTCTGAAGGAAGAGCCAGAAACAGAAACCCTTTTTGACTTTTTTCAACTTGAATATACTTTATTAAATGAGATATGACTGAGTTAAAACGGAGCGTAAAACCTCTGGTGGTTTCCTCGTAAGATAAAATATGTATTTGTGTTGACTTAAGACGGAGGAGGGAGTTCATCTTACCTACCATCAAAGTTTGTCAGTTTTCAGGGTTATATCCCAAGAGTCTGGGGTTAAAGTAGTTCACGGATTGGATGTTCTTTGACTGAGTTATAAATTTTTCAAAAATTGCTTTTTGCAACTATTTTGATGTTGGCGAAAACAGTCGTACTTACCTTGTCTTCTGCTTTTATGAAGCTTTAGAAAAACATTTCCTTTTGAAAACTTGTTCTCCAAATTCACTGCTGCCGGGCGTCGTATTTTCCGTTAAGAAAAAAGTCGTTTTCGTAACGTTAGAGACTCCGAGATGTGTCTGAAATGGAATCCCTTAAACTAGGAAAAGTCGAGTTTTTCTAGGAGAGTTAACTTTTTCACTTTAGCATCATTAATTTGCAATGAAACTTTGCGTATAAACGGGAATTCATATTAGGCATACAATCACCAAATTATAACGTTGTAGCACATTCCTTTGAAAAATTACCAAATACCATATCAGTCCACAATATTATGCTATCCGTTTCAATAGAATCCACTCCACCGTTTTCTAAATAGCTTTTTATAAAAAAATCGTAGAGACCTGCGGTTTTGATAAATTGAAAGGTAACATATAGTGCTACCTATGAGTACTGAAATTTGATTGGTGAAGAAGT